GATGTACCGAGGGATTAGTTACATACGTACGGTAGTAAGTACATTTTTTGTTGAATATTGTTACCTCCTTCCTCATTTATCTCCCACTTTACTTCCCCCCCACAAGTTCTAAAGTTCATTTCCAACATACTGTCTTGTGTGTATCACTGTTGCATTGACTTACCCTTTGTCCTTTGTTTCAAGATTTTTGTTGTTCCTCTTCCCTTCCCTAATTCAGATCAACATTTATATCATGAACAGGGTACCAAACAGAAACGTTTTTCAAGGCCAGAAGTGGTGGCTCAAGTATTGTATTCAGTTGATATTGAAAATCAGTTAGAGGTTAGCCCTGACAAGGAGTTATTTTCAAAACTACATCAAAAGCAGTGGCTGAGTGCAGTGGCACAGGCCTTTCACCCAGTATCATAACTTAGGACAAAGTAGGAAGATTGAAATACAGGTAAATGCAGATATAACAACAGACCCTACTGCAAATTCAACCAGAATAGCTGAGCTCAACTCAGAAGATAGAGATCTAAAGAATCAAAGTTTGACTCCATTGACTCCTTGAGATTCCATCTTCAATTCACCAGTAAGAAAAACAAACAAAAAAACAAAAATAAATAAAAAATAAAAAACTGGAGGTACCAATCAGGATGTAGTGTACTGGTTGAACTGCCAATCACAAGTCCCTCAGTTCAAATCTGGAACAAAAATATTAAGACAGTACTCTACAAATTACTCAGCTTTATATAGCTAGATTGTTCAGACTGCAAAGCTGGTTGATATGCATTTTTCATTTTTATGGTTTCTTTCTTCCACTCTAGAGATTAAATTTGGTATCTACATAGTATAATCATATTTACTTTTAAATGTTCAACTAAAAGTATGAACAGTACAACTGTCCAATTTTAGGTTAAAATTAAGCTCAAAGAGTCATAGTCATAATTTTATCAAAGTAAATTGTAAATAAGTTGGTTTGAGAGAATTTTTGGTAAATTGTATGTTGATTCACAGAATATTTTAAAGAATTTCACTGAAGAAATCTATTTTCTTTTCTTTTCTTCTTCCCTAATACTTTAATTTTTCCTGGATGCATAAATTAAACAACAAAAATTACAAGTCAGAGTATAGTAAAGCCACTAGTACAAGCATGTTCATTGCCACACTATTCATTAAAACTGTGGTATAGAAACAACTCAGACATTCCTCAGTGGATGAAAGCTTCAAGAAAATATGGCATTACTTTGTTAAATTAAAAAAAAGGAGAATCCATAAGAGATTATTCAAGTATTGAAAGAAATTTTCACCTTTAGAAAACTGTAACAAGAAAGTCAAACATTTCTGGTAGATATACACAATGCTATTCTATGCCTCTATCAGAAAGAATGACATTGCCCCATTTGTTAGGAAATGGAAAGACTCAGAAAAAATTATATTAAGTGAAGTAAGCCAGGCCCAAAGAAACATAGGTCCCATGGCTTCCCTTATTTGCAATAACTACTATATGTCTGAGACAAGCAGAAAAGGTCAGATAAATTGATATTAGGTGAAATGAACCCCAAGATAAGGACTCAAATGTTTTATTTTCTTTCTTGCAATTGTTTCTAATATATTTATAAGATTATTTCTTTGTTGCTTTGTATGTCCCTCCCCCACGGTATAACCCCCGCTTTCATTGTATTTGGTATTGGTATAATTTGTGGAGAAGGGCAAAAACAAAACATTTAAATAGGGATACAGGTGGATCCATTGCACCAATGAGATGTACAAGTCATTATGTTGAAAAATGAACATTTCTGGAAATTCATTAAAATTAAATTTCTATGGTCAGCTAGAATGACTGAGAAACATATTTGTAATTAATAGTCTGATTTGGCTTTATAGATTTACTGTCTTAGTTTCTATCCTTCATAAAAACTTGATATATCCACTAGTGAGCTACAGATTACCTTTTTGAATCTGGAGACCACAACTAGCATATGCGTATGCACAGCAAGATTTCTACAACTAAGTTATAATGGCATCCTTCTAAATTTTGCACAGAGCACTAAAGGTTTCTCCTTTAATGTGTTCTGCTTTCTCACCATTTGCTTGATTTTCATCCTGAGGTTCTACTTCTTCCATAATTATCAACTACTCTCTCCCAATAGTCTATGTTTTAACCCATATGTATCTATTTTAATACGTGATCTAAGGTCTCAAAGTCAGGTTACTGATTAAGTCCCTGCTAGTGTGTCCCTGTTTACAAAAATCTGGTAAGTTTCTATTTCCCCGATATTGTATTGTTTTTCCTGTGTGAAGTACAAATTTCTGCCCCAATTGTAACAGTCTTGGTGCAACTTCTCTGAATGTGACTCTCCCCCCAGTCCCCACAGTCCAGGTAATGTGACCCACGTGACTGCCCATGTGACTCATGTGACTGCTCCCTAAAATTTTGTTTAAATTCTGCCCACACCTGTCCATGGTTGCTGCCTCCATTCTTGTTAGGAGCAGCCTGGCAGCTTTGTCCCCAGTAAAGCCTTGAGTTTGTATTGGTCACTCCTGCTCTCCTCTCATTTCTTACACATCATAATGAATGTGTGTGTGTGAACACACATACATATACATGTACATTATATATGTATATGTACGGCTATATATACAGTACTCTCTTGGCAGAGTTCACTGTGTTTTTATGAAGTGGAACATGCTCTTACCTCTCTAGAAAAGAAAATGAATATTCTCTTAGTCCTGAAATATTTATATAAAAGAAATTATTTAAAAATTGGAATTTTTGTGGGGTGGAAATTTTTATGGAAATCCTAGACCAGAGTGTAACCAAACTTTGGATGGTGCCAACATGCCAGGACTATGGTCCTGTTCTTGAACAACAGAAAATACTCTTCACTTACTTAGTTCAGTCTTGATGGAGGCAAAAGATTGATAAGATTAGGGCTGAATAACGTTGATTACCTCATCTTATATAGACACATTTTAAATGATTAATGTATCTATGTGTGCAGTTAAACTTGAATCTAACTCTAAGCCAAATTTTTTTAAAAAAGAAGAAGTAGAAATAACCCAGTTTTATTCTTCTCATAATTGTCTGTAGGCATTTTGTCTCATGAAAAGTCAATTATTTTTTAGCAAAAGTAGTCCCTTCATCCTTGCTATGGAACTATTTGGAATTCGTTAAGAAATTACTAATAAAAATATCTAGGCAAGTTCAATTAATATGTATTGCCACTTATTGAACATAAGATGTTTCTGAATTCTTTAAAATGAGAGGGTACTATTAATGGGAAATATTTTGAAGTAATGAATAAAGATTAATTCAATTTAGATATTGCAACTTTAAATAGAAAGTGATTAAACAAGACGTTTGGTAATTAGGGGAAAGCTTATCCATGTTCTATTTGTCATTACCCAGGTGAACAGACGGCAGTTAGGAAGAAGCAATAAAGACAAATTCATAGCCTTTGAAGTTAGAATCCAGATGTCCTACATAAAAGCTGAATGACTGAGTAAGTTACTAAAGATTTCTTATGTTCTTGCTTGTCCTTTGGAAACTGACAAATATTTCATGAAGTTCTTTGAAACTTCAATTAAAAATGCAAACCTAATGTAGTTATAGTCAGATATTAAACATCTGATAAGCACCAGGACATTTTTTTCCCTCCTTTGTTCTTTTTCATTTCATATATTTGAAATGTCTGCATTTGTGCTTAATTATATTATGCCTAAAGAGCACAGTGCCGTTAATTCTCATTGAAAGAGAAGCATTCCAAATGTATGTAATGCTCTGTATAAAACAACAACAACAACAACAACAACTAAACACTTCTGGCTTGATTAAATGTCAATAGATTTTTTTTAATCCATTTGTTTACTTGGATCCTTGACCAGCAATTCAGTCTTTCTGGGACATTTTCAAGGGCATTTGAACTATAAGGACATTTCTTGTAGTGCTAGCAAAATTCTTCAGCTTTATAGGAATCCAACATCTACTCAGTTAATTTGCTGTGCCTATTATCTTTTTTATTAACATGAACTGGATATGATTCAGTTCTTTGGCTCATATAAGCAAGTATGTAGTAAATATAGCTTCTAATGATGACTCCTCAAGAAAGTCTTTGTCTTCTCTGCATATTTTATGTATTAAATAAAAAATAAAGTCACCATGAGCTGGGTATGACATACCTTGAATTCCAGAATTTAGGATGTTGAGCATCAATGTTTGCAAGTTCAGAGCTTGCAAGAGTTATGTAGTCAAACTCTATATCAAAAGGTAGAATAATGGCTACACACACACACACACACACACACACACACACACACACATTCAACAAATAACCTAAATTGTTAAATATATTTAATCCCTAAAATCAACTACATTTGTAAATGTTTCAGATAAAATACATACATGTGAAGTTCTGTTAGTTCAAGCTGAGAGGGTAAAAACTTTTAATGTTTTTCCAGGAAGGATTGAAATGATTTTTTAAAAATGGATAACACCTTTTTAGCACAAATATTTCAGTGAAAATAACCTGACAGTTGTCTGGTTATCATCTTGAGTCTATGTGAGCAGGAAGTACAGGATTCATCACAGGTGATGGCAAAGCTGGACCCCTGCAGGAAAAGCATTTCAGAAATATTGAAACATTTTAAAGGGAAAGGAGATGATTTTGTCAAGGGTAAATCTTGCATTTGCCAATCTTACACAGTACAATATGAGGACAATACTTTTAGAAATGAAGAATGCATATCTAACTATATGACTTCTTGTTAGATCAAAGAAAGTCATATCACTGGACAATTTGCAAAGTACTGAGAACATCCTAAAATATGGAAGAATAAGGAAAATCACAATTGAATAATTTTTGAAGTTAAAAAGCAAAATAATATTCTCTCCTAACAGGAAGCTATACATGCAATAACGAATTACCTAAATAGCCATTATATACAAACTCTCACCAAGAAGAAAATGTCCTAAAATAATTACATTTCCAGCAGGGGAAAAAAAAAATCTTACACACATATAGAAGCACATGTCTCACCTTGCCTGGAGTTCTGTTACTTCATAATCCTGCCAATGAAAATCTTTTTGTTGTATATACTGAGACTTTACATTTTCCTCATGCAAACTGCTATTTAAGAATATATTCTTAAATAAATTTGTTCCATTTTCGTTTTTATGTTTTAACCGGTACCTGGGCTTGAACTCAGGTAGTACTGATCACTAGAGCCATATATCCAGTCCAACATGTTGCTGTTTAATCGGAGAGGGGGTAGACTTTTCTATCTTAGCTTGCTCAGAACCATGATCTTCTAGCTCTCAGTCTTGTGAGTACCTAGACTTAAAGACATGAGCCTGTGCTCAAATAGATTTACATTTTAATCATACTCCAGGGAAAAATACCTTAACCATTCTGTGCTTTGAGATTTTATTTATTGTCTTAATTACAGCTTGTGATCAACGCTTCTAGTATTATCAGTCTCTTCACTTGTATTTAGTATGGAGGATTTTGGAGTGATGGGTTGGTAAAGGAATTTGCCATGATAAGAAAGTACCAGAAACAAAGAATTACTAGTACTCTTTTAAAATAAAGGGGCTGGAGAATAGGAAGTTATAACTAACCAGATGCAAATTTTGTGGCAGATTTTTGTTTGTTTTTGGGTGGGTCATAGGTCTTGAACTCTAGGCCTGGGTGCTATCCCTCAACTCTTCAGTTCAAGACTAGGGCTCTCTCCCACTTGAGCCATTGCGCCACTTCTGGTTTTCTGGTGGTTTATTGGAGATGAGAATCTCATGGACTTTCCTGCCCTGGCTGGTTTTGAATTCCAATACTCAGATCCCAACCTCCTGAGTAGCTAAGATTAAAGGCGTGAGTCATCAGCGCCCAGCTTTGATTCAAGATTTGAGTATCACCACACTGGAATCATTTCCTGCTTGGCACTCACTTTTTCATTACACCAGGCTCTAGACAATTCCTCCCACTTTCCCCTCCCTAAGAGGTGCAATTGTCCAAATTTACTGACTTAAATGAGCTGGGAAACATTTTCTAATCCCAAACATGTGCAGTTGCGCTCACTTATAATATTCAGGAGATTATGGCATTACTTTGCATATTTTGATTTAACAACTGGTCTATATATGTTTTTCTTACAGTACTAAATAGATATTAGAAATAATGTTAGTATATAGCATTGAGCATGTAGGCAAACAAATTAGTTTAATAATAAATCTCTAATGTGTTGACAGGTCTTACAAAGTTAACCAATTGAGCATGCTAGCTGATTTTTTATAAACACATATTTTTGTATTATGGAAGCTCGGTCTTGTTCTTATTTTGCTAGTTGTTTATTAAAAATAGATGGAAGTGTCTACTGTGTTTTTATTTATTTTATGTTTTGCAGTAAAACAGTTTGCACTGAAGGCCATTTCACTAGTACCTGGCTTTAAAAGTTGTGTATATTACCAAGAGAAGGATGATAATAATAGCTTAATCTCAAAAAAAATCATTGTTTCTTAAGTTATTTCGATATTGAAATCTACTTTGATAAACATATAGGTAGCCTTCTGACTAGCATGTGCACAGTTGTGTTTCATTCTTTTCATTTGGAGGCAGATGCTTATTAAACCCACTTCTCCAATCTGAGTTTCAGTGTATTCTCAACATAATTATTGAGTTTGGAGTTCAGTCAACCATTTACTGTACAATTACTGGTATTCAATCCTAAATCCTTTGAATTTCTCAGGCCTTGCATTCTTTTGGACTAAGTGGTATTTCTTTTTATTTCCATGCATCCAGTTTGAAGAATTTCTCTGGTTTGTGTTTTGATCTGTGTAAGAAATTTTCCCATGCTCAACCTCCAGGTTTTAAAGTATTACTTCTAGTTATTCTAAATCTTTTTCTGTCTCTCTTTCTCTTTCTCTCTCCTTTTCCCTTTCCCTTTCCTCCTCTCCCTTTCTTCTTTCCATCCCTTCTTATTTCTTTCTCTCACTCCTCCTCCTCCTTTTTCTACTTTTTTCTTTTCTCTTCTTCTTCCTGTTAGCCAACATTTTAAATTTTGAATCATTAAAAACATACACATGAAATAATAGTACAGTGTTTTGTTGTACACTCCACCCAAAGATTCCAATAGGTCTAACAAATACCTGAACAAACACATTTCAAAAACCATGAATTTCTCACTGGTCCAATATTATTAACAGATCAATAAAACTTTATCAGGACAAGCATGCACATAAGTTTTTTTCTTTTTTGGTCGGCCGTGGAGCTTGAACTCTGGGCCTGGGCGCTGTCCCTCAGCTCTTCAGCTCAAGGCGAGCGCTCTACCACTTGAGCTACAGCGCCACTTCCGCACATAAGTTTTTTAAACTGGTATATTGCATAAAATTGTATGAGTTTACCATAATTTAGGTAATAGTCACCATGTTAGGTAGTCATATTGCTTCTACTGCTTTTGTTATTGCAGACAAATCTGCAGTTCCATTTATCTACATAGCATAACAATATCTTTGTGAATATAGATAAAATTGTCTGTAAAAATAAATCATACAATGGTATTTTGGGTTATGTATATTCATTTTAATATTTTTATTGTAAAGATACTGTACAGATGGGTTACAGTAACATGAGTAAGGTAATGAGTACATTACTAATCGAACATTGTTACCCCTCCTTTGTTTTTCCCCTACTGTTCCTTCTCTCCCCACATCCCCAACTCCTCCCTCACCCCTGAAGTTGTAAAGTTCATTTTGTACATCTCATTGGTTATAATTTTTAGTGTCAAGTGTGTATGTTTATGTGTGTGTGCATGCACACACGTGCAGGCACAACGTGTATGCTAGTACTGGAGCTAGAACTTATGGCCTCATACTCTTGCTCTTGCTTGACTTGACTTTTCCAGTCAAGGCTGGTCCTCTACCACTTGAGTCTCACCTGCACCTCTGGCTTTATTCTGGTTAACTGTAGAAAAATCTCATGGACTTTCTTCCTAGGCTGCCTTTGAACAACAATAATCAGATGGCAGCTTCCTAAATAGCTAGAATTACAGGAGTGAGCCTTCCTGCTGCTGATTACTTCTAATAAATACTTTAAAATACATTGTATAAAATTCTATGGAATTACAATTCTAGCAATTAAAATATACCAAAAAATCACATGTTCTCCAACTTAGATTAAATAAGTATAGCATCGTATTGCTCTTTTTAGTGCAATCAGTATGAATGTTGAACATGCTTCATGTGAGTAGTGGTTGATTTCAAATTATATTTTAGAAATAGTATGTTCATGGTCATTTCTCTATTGTTACCTATGTTTTTATGTGAATTTTTTAAATATTTCAGATATTTAATCCTATAACCTACTAGTAATTACATTGCTGTTTCCAGTTCAACACTGAAAGTTTATAATTGCTTTACACATCAAAACGTTCTGGTTATAACTTCTAGAATAACAGAAAATGATAACAATCACATAGATGCCCTTGTACTGTCCCAGACACTGCTAGGAAAAGCTTTAGTCATTCCCCATTTAGAATGCAGCTGCCTTTGAATATTTATGCATCCACATTCCAATAATGTGTCTATGTATATCTCTGATGTTAAATAAGAATCTTTCACCTCTTGCCTCAGTAAATACATTTCAGCACTATTTCGTTATGAACATAGCAAAATTAGCTTTTATCATCCAGAAGCTAATTAATTTTTTGTGATTTGCTTAACGATATATAATTTATGTATATATCCATGTATATACATCTTAATTATATATATATTGCTCATATACAACAAATTAAAATTGATTTTTTATAATTCTGTGACATTTTGTTAGCAATATCAGGCTATACTGTCAACTTAGTGTGCCGTTTTACAAACTTTACAAAATTTGATATTTGTAAATTTGCCATTAGAAACTAATGATTTTCTGCTCTGGAATAATTTCAGTTGTGTCAGGATTATTTCTTTATTGTTTTGAAATATTTAATCAGGAGAAACTACTGAACCATCAGATTGAAACTCATTTCTGATCAAGTTTTGTATTTTCATTTTCCTCATAATTTTTCAGAGTATTCTAGGTTGTTGGAATCATCATTAGTTTTTTTTTTTTTAATCACATGGACAAGTCCATGTTCTCAAAGGTGGGAAAGTAAAACTGTCTCATCTTTAATTTGCAATTTAATTTTTTGGTGTACTTCCTTAACTTCAGTCCTCATATAGTTTTGTGAAATAAATACTATTTTTAGATATGCAATCACATTTTAAGACTTGTTGGGTCTTGTGTTCACCAACTGAAAATAATTGCCTGTTCTCTGTCACTCCTATAGTCTTTTAAGAAATATTTGGTTTTATTTTACTCTTTGTGCATTTTATTATTATTATTGTAAAGATGATGTATAGAGGGTTTCCCTAATACTGGTATAGGTATATTACTTTTTGAACACTGTCACCCTTTCTCTTGTTCTCTCCCAGTTCTTCCCTTCCTGTCCCTTCCTATAAGTAGTATAGTTCATTTTCAACATAGTGTTTAATGAGTATCATTGCTCTTTTTGTACAACCTTTCTCCCACCATTTCTGTACCAATGGTGCTTACACTCTCAGAGACATATAAACAAAAGGAAAAGAAAACAAAAAGTAGCAAAGAAAAAAAAACTTTTTCCATTTTTCTTGGAGTTCAGTATTGCAGCTTTGTGATCCTCTCCTAAGAATATCTTCCTTTGTTCTCACTCTGTGTGAATACCTAGAGACATATATAATTTATGATATCCTAGTGTATTTTTTCTTTGAACTATACAGTGTAGATTTATAGGTACTTTCAATTTACCACAAATGAGGGAAATCATGCAACCTATGTTTTTTGGGGTCTGGCTTATTTTACTTAATGTCATTTTTCTATAGGCTTTTATTGCTGTGCACAATAATCTTGTATGTCTTCTTCTCTTTATAGAGAGGTGCCATTATTGCTGGACACAGGTGACTCACACCTGTAATCCTAGCTACTCAGGAGGAAGAGATCTGAAGATTGTGGTTCAAGGCCAGCTCTAACAAGAAAATCTGTATTACTCTTATCTCCAATTAATCACACAAAAAAAAGCTGAAGTGGAGCTGTGGCTCAAGTGGAAGAAGGCCAGCTTTGAGTAAAAGGAGCCCAGGGACAATGTGGTTACACTTGAAATTAAGGTTTTAACTTCTGAATTTTCAAAGGACACAATTATGTCTGCAATAATGTCCTACATATGCTTTTTTTTTGGGGGGGGGGTCCGGTCATTGGGCCTGAACTCTGGGCCTGGGCGCTGTCCCTCAGCTCTTCAGCTCAAGGCTAGCCCTCTACCACTAGAGCCACAGCGCCACTTCTGGCATTTTTCTTTTTGCTTATGTGGTCCTGAGGAATCGAACCCAGGGCATGCAAGGCAAGCGCTCTACCACTGAGCCACCTTCCCAGCCCCCCTACATATGCTTTTACGTTTGATTATTTGAAACCCCTTCTGTTCTCATAGGCACAGTAATCACATTTATTTATTGAATTAACATATATCCCATTAGTAAATCCTTTTACTATTGTTGAATAACTTATATGTACTGTGTCTCCTGACTAAACCTGACAATACAGCACCACACTAATCTTGACCTTGATTATTTGACTTACAGTGGCCAGTATAGTGTAAGCTCACCAGGTGCAAAGTTATCCTTGTTCTTTGCTCCTTTTTTAATTGCTTGTAAGAACCAAAACTTTGGCCAGGAGCTGGTGGCTCACGCCTGTAATCCTAGCTACTCAGGAGGCTGAGATCTGAGGATTGAGATTCAAAGCCAGCCAGGGCAGGAAAGTCCATGAGATTCTCATCTCCAATAAACCACCAGAAAACCAGAAGTGGTACTGTGGCTCAAGTGGCAGAGTGCTAGCCTTGACCTGAAGAGCTGAGGGACAGCGCCCAGGCCTAGAGCTCAAACCCCACGACCAACAACAACAACAACAAAAAGAACCAAAACTTATCACAAATATTTATTACTTCTTAAATTTGGAATAGAAAACACTGTAGAAGAGAATAGGTGGTTATATTAGACCAATATGAATCTAGGAGAGTAATTGTATATGTTATAAATCACTGAGATCAGAGGTGTTTGTTATTTAACAGTATTGTAGCAATGATGTACTGAGAGTGACATCATCTACTGGAGTGGTATCACTTTCTGCATGTATTTTCTGGTTTTTCTTGTGTCCCATAGCAATTAACACACCTGAGCAATATAAGAAGTGAAATTCATGTTTCTAAGATTTTAAACGATTGATTTAACTAGATACCATTTGTTATTGATGAGTATTCAATCTACAACAGCTGTGGTTTTTTTCTTTATTTCTTAATACATATTCAGATTAAGTACCTCAACGTCTTGGTCCAGAAATATTCAATCTCAGAAGCTTTATATTTGATTCCAAATGACTCCTGTATCTGACCCTATATTTGTGACTATTTGGATCTCATTACACACCACATTAGACAATTAGGTTATTTTCTTTTCTATTTTTTTGTCCAGAAGGATTTAGAACTTAAGTATTTATGTATTTTTCAGAGTGAAAATATGCCTTGTTATTCTCAGTTTCCTGTAGGTATTATGTTTTATTGATCATTTTTATATGTGAAAATTACCCTCAGTGGGTTTTCAGTAAATTCTGCCAGATATACAGAGATGGAGAAAAGGTAGAAATGATGGTAATAAATAAATGATATAAGGTTGGCCTTGGGGAAAAGCAGAGGAGGTTCTATTCCTTGAGACAATCTGACCTGGTGACAGTTTGACAGGAATAAGTCTTACTAACTTGGTAAATGTGTCTAAGGTCACAACCATGTTAGTATAAACAACTGCATCTCTGACAAGGAGGTCATTTGTTCCCTCTGCTTATACTTAGAAAATTTAAACAAAACTACCCAAGAAATTTACTTGAGGACCTGAATGGTAGCATATGATTTAACAATATTTAATAATTTTTTAAGAAACATTTTAGACAGCCTTTCACAAATGCTTTATGAGTTTGGAGTTCTGACTAAAATCTGAAGTTGTATTTATTTTAAATATGCTTAGACATGTCTATTACACATTCAAAAGGTACAATGAATAGTAGATCACTTTTTCACTGATTCACTGATTTTACAAAAGATCATTTCGTTGTCACTCTCTTGCTGTTAGATGCAGTCCTGGATTAATGATATTATAACATTCAACATTTGCACAATGTCTTATTGTGCTTTGTGAACATAAAGCAGCTGAGAAGCATTATTCCATGTGTAAAGACATTATTAAGTCAGACCTCCGTTGTGTGCAGGGGGAACACAGGGTTGAAAGCAGAGGGCTTGACCTAAGACTTTAGCATGCAGCCTTCTTCCTTTTTGATAAATAAGCTTAAACCTAAAGAGATTAATTCGACCTATTCCACTGTTGCCTGCGGCCTTGAAAGTATAAAGAAGATGCCAAAGACTTCCCAATCAGATAAAAATGTGCTCTTGTTATTTTCTATAGTAGAGCAATAGAGTGGTGATAGTATTTGCAAGGAAATCCCTGACCTACTTCAATGCTTACCATTTTATCCTACTGAGAGCATTATTTAGCCTAGAGAAATGGATACTGCAGAGGCCAGCAGCAAGTTATTTGGTTTGACAACTTTATAGAAAGTGGGAGGATTACTTTAAGAAAGTGGGAGGATTACAAAGAAAATCAAGGAAGCTTTCCTAGGTTAGTATAATTAATCCTAAAATAAAATTGCTAATATGAGAGAAAGGAAATGAGAGGTTTTCTCATTCATAAAGCGATAGTTCTTGTGTCTGTGGGAGAGTAAGGAAAATTTCTTGGTATAGAAGTGGGGTCAGACAGACTTCATATATGAAGGCTAGGAAAAAGAAAGCAAGACACAGCAAGCAGAGATCAATATGAGATGCTGATATGAATTAAAGTTAATTAAATCAAAATAAAATTGAACTTGAACATTTTAAACGGAAGGATTGTTTTGATCTTGCAAATACATGCATACCAATTAGTCAGTTTTGAATTTAAACCAGAATTATTATTTAGAGTCAACATCATATATCAGGTAACTGACAATTTGCTATGGGCATTGTTTTCTTTAATTTTTATCAGAGTAATTAAGTCATTTTCAGGTCCTGTCAACATTAAAACCTTCCTTTTGATGAATAACAATTCCTCTTCTGCATTTATTTAATTGCATTATAATTCATCACAGACATCAATGTACATTCAAAAGGAATTTTAAAACTTGCAAGCAAGCCCATCCTGTTAAAATGCACACTTATACTTTTTTCAGATTCAGGGAAATCTCTTTAACTTCATCCATTACTTTGGCAATTACTAATATTTCACCAGATAAGCCCTTATAAAGCTTCACTAAGCTTAGTCTGTCTCTACCTGTGAAGGAGTTAATTGCTAATTTGATCCCGTCTAAGGGAAATGAAGCATCAACACCCAATCAATCTTCTGAAGTAAGTCTGAGATGAACATCTTTTTTTTTTTTTTTCAGAAATCAAGAGAGCATATCCTCCTCCAGTAGTTCTGGAGAAGGATGTGAGATTCTGAAATAGAATTGGAATGCTTGGTTAATTGCCATTTCTTGCATAAGTGAGTGTCCTCATATGTCTGTTTAGTAGGACAAAGCTATTTCAGTAAGTTTGCAGATAATACTCAAGAGTTTTTGTTTCATAGTAGAATTTGTATTCATTTTAACAATTAGAGTCTAGATTATTTCTATAATAATGTTCATGTCAAGTGTTTTGTTAAAAATTACTTTAGGCTAAGTTCTTTATATCCTTTAACCTCTTTAGCCTTTGCATTGTTCAGTGTTAATGGTATTTTAATCAGGGACACCTGAGTTTTAGAGACAGTACAAAATAAATACATATTTTCGGAAAGGTCATATAGGACACAGAAAAAAATTATATCAAGCAGTCTACCTGAATTAATTCTCAATGAGTACAAGTAAACACTTCAATTTAATTTTATAAGCTCCAGTTCCTATTCTAAAATTATTGTACATGAATGTTTTGAAAATATACATTATACAACATTTTAGACTGCCAATAAAGGGGTGGTGGAGAATACGCACAGAGTGTATGGAAATAATATTTGCTATATTTCAATCAAAATTGAAGACTTTGTGTCTAGTGTTTGAGACGAGGTGAATATTTTATTTTAGAAAGTAACAAAATGAATAGAATAAAAAAGATTATTTGTTTGCTTTTATGTTTACTTATGTATGTTTTCTTGAGGTATGTAAATAGTAGAACTAGAACTAATGGCTGGGTTATTAGTTCAGGATGCATGTACTGAGTGTGTGTGTGTGTGTGTGTGTGTGTGTGTGTGTGTGAGAGAGAGAGAGAGAGAGAGAGAGAGAGAGAGATTGATATTTAGGAATACTCTGCATCTTCATCAGAGGACAGAGATGTGGTCTTATTAGAGTAATTCAATATTCAGAATAAGTAATCAGCAGTTAAGAAAGAAGAGGTCAGAATGAATTGAATTTATTTGAGGCTCTATTCAAACACTAAAACCATTTGATAGTCCCAGTGGTTTTTACCTATTTTGTTTTTAGATTTGTTCGAATTGGTCAAAGCTTATTCTCCTGGCTACTAAATTCAAACCTTAATATTAGAGATAAAAAATTAAAGACACAAAGTTGTAAGTTCATAAATCATTTCTGACATCTTGACTACCTACTAAATTGACTGCTCCAAAAATTCAATCCATGTGTCTCCATTTGTCATTTAAAATTCTTGTGCTTAGTATTAAGA